CCTGGCATTTTCAAATATATATTTATATTTTATTTTTTCCCACGTTAGCAATAATGCATTTCTAATATAGTGGTTTTGAAAGTATGAATTTTATTTTTTCCATGCCATAAAAGGGCATGCCAACCAAGTTGTAAGTCATGCCCCTCCAAATACAACAATGTTTTGTTTCTGAGCATTATCCATTCTTTTATCCATGTTAACACCAATGCTTGATAATATAAAACCCAGTCTGGCAAACCAAAATTTTAGGTTGCTCCTCTCTTTAATGATCTTCCACCTGTTACTTATTGTCCCGTCCTCAGGATTCAGGAAGGAATCATGGGACTGGAAGGGATCTCTGAGGTCTTTTGTCCAACCCTCTGCTCAAGCAGGAGATCCTATACCAGTGGTGGCGAACCTATGGCATGCGTGCCAGAGGCGGTACTCAGAGCCCTCTCTGCGGGCACGTGTGCCGTCGCCCCAGCCCCGCCTCTCCCTATGGCCCCTTCCTCACCAGCAGCCCCCCCAGAGGAGAATCGCCCCCAGGCGAGGCCCGCATGGAGCAGCGTAGCCAAGGACATGGTAGCTGGGCAGCAGGGCCAAGACTCCGCTCTCGACAGTCGCGCACAGATGAGGCTGTGGGGCGCGGGCAGAGGGCGTGGCTGCCATGGCGCTGCAGGGCCACCTGGGCGATCTGCTGTGGTGGGCCGCGTAGGTGGTGGGTAGCCCTGGAGGCAGGCAGGGTGGGGCATGGTGGGCAGGGCCGTTTTGGGGCACTTGGTCTCTAAAAGGTCCGCCATCACTGCCGTATACTATTCCAGACAAATGGCTGTCCTGTCTGCTCTTAAACGTCTCCAGTTATGAAACACCCACTTCTGGAGGTAAACTGTTACACGGATTAATAGTCCTCACTGACAGGTTGCTTCTCTCCTTGATTAGTTTCCATACGTTGCTTCTTGTTCTGCCTTCTATAATAATAATAATAATAATAATAATAATAATAATAATAATAATAATAATAATAATAATAATAATAATAATAATAATAATAATAATAATAATAAAGTTGGAAGGGACCTTGGAGGTCATCGAGTCCAACCCCCTGCTCAGGCAGGAAACCCTATACCATTTCGGACAAATGGCTGTCCAGTTTCTTCTTAAAAACTTCCAGTGTTGGAGCATTCACCGCTTCTGGAGGCAGATTGTTCCACTGGTTAATTGTTCTCACTGTCAGGAAGTTTCTCCTTAGTTCTAGGTTGCTTCTCTCCTTGATTAGTTTCCATCCGTTGCTTCTCGTCCTGCCTTCAGGCGCCTTGGAGAATAGCTTGACTCCCTCTTCTTTGGGGCAGCCCCTGAGATATTGGAACACTGCTATCATGTCCCCCCTCGTCCTTACCCAATTCCAGCAACCGTTCCTTATATGTTTTAGCCTCCAGTCCCCTAATCATCTTTGTTGCTCTTCTCTGCACTCTTTCCAGACTCTCATCAGGGTGTGTTGTCTTTTGCAGCTTCCCCAAATGGCAAATTAATCAGTAAGCAAATTAACCCATTCAGAACCCAAACTTTCTCTTTACTGTACTTTTATTCCCTCTCCTTCTGAGAACTGCTGAGTTTTACTCATGGATGGACAGAGTTCTTAGCAAAATGCATTTTTTAAAAAATATGTAGGTCAGCCATTGCTTCTTTGTCGCAAAGTCCTGGCAGTTGCCATTCAAAAGTACAGCAAGTACAAGGAAAACTGTACTTATCTTGTCTTCTTTATCTGGATCTACGCTATAAAACACACACTGCTGTTCTCATTCCTAAATTTGGAGGTTTTTTTTTAAAATTGCCTTCCTGCAAGCTTGATAAAGAATTAATGTCCCCCAAGGCTTGCTCAGTTTCCCAAATTTCTCTAGGTTTACCCATCATGCAAAACCTACAATCTGGTGTGAATAGAATAGAATAGAATAGAATAGAATAGAATAGAATAGAATAGAATAGAATAGAATAGAACCTTGGAGGTCTTCTAGTCCAACCCTCTGCTCAAGCAGGAGACCCTATATAATTTCAGCCAGGTAGCTGTCCAGTCTCTTCTTAAAAACCTCCAGTGATCAATCAATCAGAATAGAGCTGAAAGGGATCTTGGAGGTCTTCTATCTAGTCCAATCCCCTGCTCAAGCAGGAGACCCTATACCTGTCCAGTTTTTTTCTTAAAAACCACCAGTGATGAAGCACCCACAACATCTGGTGGCAAGCTGTTCCACTGCTTAATTGTTCTCACTGTTAGGAATTTTCTCCTTAGTTCCAGGTTGCTTCTCTCCTTGACTAGTTTCCATCCATTGTTTCTTGTCTTGCCTTCTGGTGCATTGGAAAATAAGTTGACACCCCCCCCCTCTTCTTTGTGGTAATTCCCAGGGATTGTGTTCACCGACCTAAGAATGCAGTAGTTGTGTTTCAACCGCAGGATGAGCCACGGATCACTCTTGTTGGCAAACCTGTATATTTCAGCCTGCCTGAATTACAGCATTTTTAACTGTTATTTTCCACTGCCAGTTTTTGTCAGATGGCGGGGGGGAAAAAGCTAGGTTGATAAAATATGGAAGATCTCTATTTTTAATAAATAGTTTCTTATGTGGCCAACCTGAACCATAATGAAATCAAGGTTTCCTTCAGAGAGACATCCAAGTTCATTTATCGTTTTAGAAGAGTCTCAGAATTGCAAAGTTTAATAAGCTTATTACTAGGTTTATGGCCCCAAAGCTAAATATTGTCAGCAACAGATAGGTCACTTTTTTCAGTGCCGTTGTAACTTCGAACTGTCACTAAATAACTGTTGTAAGTCGAGGATTACCTGTATTCTGCTGAGGAGTAGACCAAACCTAGTGCTGATGACTTGAGACTGTTTAGTTCCACACAATTTCTGGAGTTTGTTGTTCCTAATATTGATTTTTGCAGCCGTATTCTCTAGATGGTATCTGAATATAAATCTTTTTAACATGTATATTTTTATTGTGTGGTAAAATGTTAATATATATTGCTTGTTTGTGCTTGATAATGCCATATGCTAAAAATAAATTCACATGCATAGTAGCTATAAACCTAAGTAGTGAAAGATCAAACAAATGGTCTAACTATCTCTTGCAGAGTCATCCTCTAGATCAGGGGTCCCCAATCCCCGGTCCGTGGACTGGTACTAGGCCATGGCATGCCAGCAACCAGTCCGCACAACAAGCAAAGCCCCATCTGTGGGATGCAGGCAGCACACAAAAAACCATGCACCCTCCAGTCTGTGAAAAAAACTCTCTCCATGGAACCAATCCCTGGTGCCCAAATGGTTGGGGACCTTGCTCTAGATTGGCGTGGGAAATGAAATGAAACTTCAACTCCCAGAATTTCTGAATGACATGCTGGCTCAGGAATTCTGGGAATTGAAGTCCACAAGTCATAAAGGGGGGCATCGTTCCCCACCGATGCTTTAGATGTCTCTTTGATTCTTGTTTACATCGCTCTTTTTCAGCTATACTGCAGATTAAGCTAGGATCATGACTGTTTTTCCTAATATTTTGGCTGGGACTGCAACTCCCAGAATTCCTAGCTGGGACTACAACTCCTAGGATTCCTAGCCTGGAGAGACACTTTAGAGTTGCAGTCCTAAACTGGAGGCTATGAGTGAGAAGACCATACAGGTACTCCTCAACTTACATTTGTTTACTGACCATTGAAATTTACAACAGCACTGAAAAAAGTGACATATGACCGTTTTTCACACTTACGACCATTGCAGCATCCCAGGGTCACATGATCAAAATTTGAATGCTTGTCAACTGACTCATATTTATGACAGTCGCAATGTCCTGGGTCATGTCATCAACTTATGCGACCTTCTGACAAACAAGGTCAGTGGGGAAGCCAGATTCATTTAACAACCGTGTTACTACTTCACAACTGCAGTGATTCACTTAACAACTGTGGCAAGAAAGGTCGTAAAATGAGGCAAAATTCTGGGCTCAATTGTGGTCCTAAGTGGAGGACTACCTATGCTCTAGGAGTCTAGATGGTTTCAGAAATAATCCAAGTTATCGGTTATTTAAGTTATTTCTGATTTCCCAGATAAGTCAACATCAATTTAGGTTGTGGTTGCGACCTGGAAATAACTTCCATCCAATAGATATAGGCAGGGCTTTTTTTCTCGGAGAAAAGGTGGCGGAACTCAAACCTGGCCACGCCCTCATCAAACCCTAGGACCGCCCCTTTAGAGAACAGGAATGCAAGTAAAATTTGGGAGGGGCTATTTCCGGTGTGGGAGGGGCTATTTCCGGTGCGGCCGGCCCGGAAAAAGGTGCCGGAACGCGGTTCCGCCGCGTTCCNCGCCCGCCCGCCCGCCTCCCCTCGGCTGCGGCGGGACCCATGGGAAGGGGCCGCGCCCGGGCCCCGCCTGCCTGCTGCTCCTCGCTCGGGGATGGCTCCGCCGCCGCCGCCGCCGCCGCCTTGAAGCGAGCCGGCTCGGAGCAGCCGCCGCACCGCGGACCGCCTTGACCTTGCCCGGGACGCCGCTCCGCAACCTGTTGGCCACCTCCCGCGAGGAGAGGGGGGGGCTGTTCCTCCGCCAGGCCGCTGTCCAACCGGGGCAGCCCCTTCCAGGGGCCTGAGCTGAGTGGCCGGCGCGGGGGGCGGGGGAGCTCTTCAGGCTTCTCTGCCCCCCCCCCAAAAGGGTTGCAAGGCTTGCTTGGTTTCCCCTGATGATGGGGGGGTCCTGACCTGGATGTCCGGCCGGCCCGCAGCCCCCCCTCCGATGTGACCCGCTGCGGCTGCTGCTGGGGACTTCCGCGCACCTGCCCGCCCCGCCCCTCCCCCGCCGCACACCTGAGATTGGCAGGGAGCCGGACTGGGACAGGTGACAGGTGACAGACAGGTGATGGGGTGCCCGCTGCGGCCGGAGGGGATGCCCGGCGCCCCTCTGCGGGATTAAGCCAAGCCTCCTGCCCGGCATCACGCCCCCAGTGTTCAGCTGCCGGACAGACTCTGCCCCGCTGAACAACATGGAGACCAAAATCCCGCCGGCCGTCACCCCGACCAGCCCTTCATCCCCCGGGCTGTCCCCGGTGCCCCCACCGGACAAAGTGGACGGTTTCTCCCGCCGGTCGCTTCGCCGCTCCCGCCAGAGACGGTCGCACAGTTCCTCCCAGTTCCGATACCAGAGCAACCAGCAGGAGCTGACCCCTCTCCCCCTGCTGAAAGGTAGGTCTGGGGAGGGGGGGGGCTCAGAGGGCTGGAGAGCCGCCCTCCCTCTCCGTGGGTCATCAGGGCCCAGTGTGAAGCCGCCCTTGGGTGCCCGATGGATGCCAGGGTGGCCCGAAAGAGGCGGTCTTGCCAAGCTGTGGCCGGAGACCCCCAAGACAGGCCAAACCCCAAAGAGAATGCAGAACCGCAGAGTTGGAAGGGACCTTGGAGGTCTTCTAGTCCAACCCCCTCTGCTCGGACAGGAAAAACTACACCACTTCAGACAAAATGAATCCCCAGTTCCTGCGTTGGCTCTGCAGAACTTGTGCAAATAAGCTGTAGTTTGCCTATTTGTGAGTCCAGTTGAGGGTACGGTAGTTTGTAAATGATGGCTTGCACTGTGCAGTTTTTGGGTTGCTTCATACAGTAAAACGGGGTAATTTATTTTTTATGCTTATCCTGCCTCTATTATTTTTACAAATACCAAGGCAAGGGGGTTGGAGAATTTATTTTATTTTATTTTATTTATTTATTTTTCATAATTTATATGCCGCCCTTCTCCCCACGGGACTCAGGGCGGCTCACAGCATATTAAAATAACACAACACAAACAACACAACACAACATTTCCCCTATAAAAGCCAATTAAAACCAAATATTTATAGTCTGTGACATTATTAAAATCATTAAAAATTATCCCTATTTAAAATTCACNAGAAAAGGTGGCGGAACTCAAACCTGGCCACGCCCTCATCAAACCCTAGGACCGCCCCTTTAGAGAACAGGAATGCAAGTAAAATTTGGGAGGGGCTATTTCCGGTGTGGGAGGGGCTATTTCCGGTGCGGCCGGCCCGGAAAAAGGTGCCGGAACGCGGTTCCGCCGCGTTCCGGCTGAAAAAAAGCCCTGGATATAGGTAGTCCTCAGCTTACAACAGTTCGTTTAGTGGCCATTCGACATTACAACAGCACTGAAAAAAGTGACTTATGCCCATTTTTCACACTTAACGACCGTTGCGGTATCCTCATGGTTACAGTAAGTAGTCAAAATTTGGACACTTGGCAACTCACTCCCATTTCTGACAGTTGCAGTGTCCCAGGGTCATGTCATCCCCTTTTGTGACCTTCTAACATGCAATGGGAAAGCCAGATTCAGTTAACAACTGTGGCCAGGAAAGTCCTAAAATGGGGCAAAACTCACAACAAATGTCTCGCTTGGCAACCAAAATTTTGGGCTCAATTGTAGTCGTAAGTTGAGGACTACCTGTCTACTATCAGTTGCACAGTTTATGATTCTGCAAAACAGGGATCAAGCAGTCTACCTTGCAGGACCCTTGCAGCTAAACCACCACCTTCCTTCTGAATCTCAGTGCATGGGGCATTGGCGCTTCACATGTGCAAAAAGTGGTGGGGGTCAGAGAATTGGCCCTCTCCCCGCCCTCCCCCCCCTGTGGCAGGCAGGGCAGGGCAGAAACCACCCAGCCTGCCCCATTCCGGTCCCCTTTTCGAGTGGGATGCCTTGATCCAGCATTAGCCCTACTCAGTCTGAGATGGGGAATTTTGCAGGGGGGGTTGGAACGCCTTTGGCTGGGGATGATGGGTGCTGTAGCCAGATAGCCTGAGACCAGCCTCATGGGAGATCGGCTGGGGAGGATGGGTGCTGTAGCCAGATACCCTGAGACCAGCCTCATGGGAGATCGGCTGGGGAGGATGGGTGCTGTAGCCAGATACCCTGAGACCAGCCTCATGGGAGATCGGCTGGGGAGGATGGGTGCTGTAGCCAGATAGCCTGAGACCAGCCTCATGGGAGATCGGCTGGGGAGGATGGGTGCTGTAGCCAGATAGCCTGAGACCAGCCTCATGGGAGATCGGCTGGGGAGGATGGGTGCTGTAGCCAGATACC